TGAAATATTATTTCAAAATAATAATATTTCTGTTTAAAACAATTTATAAATAATTTATAAAACAATTCAAATAATGATAATAAGTTATTTTATTTATTTAGAAGATGTGCTCAAATTGTATGCCATCCATTTGTATGTATGAATCTATAAGATATGAAATTAGCGAATTTTTGAAAAGAATGTCATAATTCCGTTTACCTTGAAAAATCGGTTAATAGACTCGGGTTAATAGAATCACGGGTATCTCACTGCCATTCCATACAAGCGTACTGCACGCGAACTTGAACGACCTCGGACCACTACTGGGTCTCTTAGTCCAAATCGCAGTGCAGTGAGATTAAAACCTTTTGACCCTTATAAAGCTAAGAGACTTATGTTTCGAAGCATATGTCATGTTATTAAATTGCTTTTTTGTTGTGGTAAATAGATTTCAATCATGTGGTGACAGTTATTTCTCTTACACACTTGGTATCGCTATGTTGCAGGCAATGTCCGACAGCGCGCGTTGACCAGCATCGTTCAGCGAAGCTACTGAGAGATACATTCATCACACATTCGCTTATTCACATGCAAATTTACTACTTCATCTAATATGTCAGACTTTGCCAAGTCTTATCGACTCGCCAAATCAACAATGTCTGCCGATTCTCTTCGCTGTATACTCTTCCCTTCCGGACATGAGCGGTCTTCTTTTCTCAACGGAATGAACACACATATTGGATCATCTATAGGGCGGGAAAATGACAAACGTTGACATATAAATGCGCGAGTTATGTTAATGCTGCTCAATGATTCAGATTAAAAACCCGTGACCGTAGGAGGTTAAATGTAGACTAGGAATTATTTTGGTGGCAATGTATAAAATACAGGACTGACATTATGTATTTAGACTCTTATAATGAAATCAATCGCAAATCCAATAAACATTTATTTATATTCGATTTTTATGTAACAATAAATAATATTTGTAAATATCTATACTTGTAAATAGCACGATACTATTTCCTATAAAAAACATAATGAGAAATTTTTTACATTAACCATACTTTATGCTTGTATTCAACAGTTAAGGAGAGACATACATCCATTTCAAAATTTTATGTAACATTCATTATAATATTTATGTATATTAATTATAAAAAACTGATAAAAAAAATTTTGCTAAAATGATCTTAATAATTTTTATAAAAAAAATAAAAATTGGTATCTTTTTTTTTTATATACTTCTTTTGAGTATGTTTTTCTTTAAATTTTTCATATATTTAACAAGTTTTCTTCATAATTTATTTTATTAATTATATTGTTTAATTGTTTCATGTTCAAAAATCATAGAAATAACATTCATTTATCATAAAATATGATGTGGATTTGTGTATGTAATATAGATATACGGATATTCGCGAATTAATGAAATTCGATATACTTTTTTATTTTAAAATCTAATTTAAATGATTAATCAATCAAATGATATCAAATGATATCAATTTAATGATTAATCAAATATCTTGATGTAATTTTTTAGATTACAATATATTTCTATTAAGAAAGTACTTACTTAATAAAGTCAAAAAATAGGGTAGATGATTTGTTTCATAGAAAAAATTAATTTGCAACTTCACAAATTTTTTGTTCATTTTTCTTATATTTCTATCATATTAATAATAAATTTGAATATCTTAGTGATCAAACTTACAATGCTTATAAAGTAGAAAGGATTTCGAAATCGCGTTGTGGTTACTTTAATTGCATTACCGCTAATCATTTGAAATAAGAAAATTGAGGACTTTTATAATTTTTATCAGACTCATTAAAATAAATTAACATAAATAAAAATAAATAAAAAGTACGATAAACTACATAAAAATTTTGATTTTTGACTATTCAAATTTCCAACTTTAAATTGTACAATAATTTTATACCAACAAAATTTTAAATAAACAATAGAAATATTTAAGATATAATTTTACTAGGGACTATAACAAAGTTTATGTTTAACAAGCCTATAAAATTGGAAGGATTATTTAAATTCTTGAAATATCATGGCAAATAATTTAAAGAAAAAAAGATACAAATTCAAAGGACTATGTTTAAAGTTTTGACTAATAAAAATGATAAAATTTTACTACTTACTCTTAATAGGTAATTTCTGAGGAGGCAATTTCTGAGGAGTGTCTCTAAAATCTGATCTAGGCCCTATATCTCAGAAACGGCTTTAAATGTAGAAAAACAAAGTTTCAGACAAAAGGTATAGGATATTAAAGAGGACATGCGATGAAAATATGGACTTGATCTAAAATGATCTTCTCAAGACCAGGTGTCAATGTGACCGATGTTTTCTTAAATGGAACCTCCCATTTTTTTATTACCTACATCACCGATTTTATCAAACTTTAACTAGAATGTAGTATTGATATGCAAGTAACAAATATTACTCGGAGACGATACACTTTTCAATTATTGACGAGAAATTGTGATTTGAATTTTAGTACGCTTCATTAATACCATTGCTGTAAAATGTTCGTCAAGCATTGGTGTTGCGCAGCAGATTAGGTGCTATGCTAGATATCTGGAGATTGCGTGTTTGCGCTCCAGTATTTTATAACTTTCTTTTTATTTTCACACAATGTTTTTATTGCTACGAAGAAAAATATTTAAAATAAATGAAACCATTATACAAGTCATGGCAGACCGAAATACAATCGATATTACGCAATCGGAAGAAGTATCGTATCTTCAATAGGAACTATTTAGAGTCTCGTGGGTATCTATGTTCCGTGAGTATTCTAAACATCACGGAGGCAGAGGTGGAAATTCAAGTGTCGCACGTAATTATCGAAGAATTAATATTTAAACCCACAAAAACGCTGACGATAAATACGGCGAAAACTAGGGAACTTTTTCGTGAGAACAGAAAAATCTTTTAAGAACTTAACCATTTAAATCCAAAAGAAAGGAAAGCGCTATTGCGTATGCGTGAAGAATTCAATGACATGCTTCATTTAGATGAAGAATCACTAATGTGTACGAACATAATATCGCACAAGATAATGATGCGAGTCAACTTCATGAGCGTAAACGTACGGCCGTACCATTTTCCAGAAAAACATAAGCATGAAATTAACAGATCAATACACGAAATGCTAGAGCATAGAATTATACAGCTTAGCATCCGTCAATGGGACGTGCTCTTCCTAGTCCAATTCCAAAGAAGGCCGACGCAAAATCGGAAAATCGAAATTAAGAATTGTAGTAGATTTCCGAAAATTGAATGATCTTACGATCTAAGACTTGTCTTCTTTCCAATATAATTGATTAGATCAATTAGGAAATGTAAAATATTTTACTATGTTAGATCCTGCTTCCGGTTACCATCAGATACCGATGGCCGAACGCGACAAATATAAGACAACTTTTTCTATGCTTTCACTACGAATTTAATCACATGCCATTCGGATTAAGAAATGCATTAGCTACATTTCAATGATTAATGAATACAATTCTAATGAGAATACAAGGCCTGAAATGTCTATTGTATATTTAAATCATATTCATACGTGCCGGAAAAAGACGTTTGACACATTATTTATCTAAGTATTGAGATAGATATTACCATAGCCTCAGTAGTTTAATGGATAAGATGCCGGATAGCGGGCGATCCAGATTCGATCCCTGGTTGAGGTGATTTTTCGCAATTATAATATAATTCCAGTGGGGTGGGGGGGATACTAAAAAGGGATTTTAATCAATATTAAAAATATTTGATTATCAAATTATTATAGAACCACTACGTGGAAGTCTGCTTTAAGTGGCACGTAGTTGGTGACATGATTATTTGAATTTATTTTATACAAAAGATTTAGCAACCAAGACCCTGATTGCCGAGAAACTGGCTATATTACTTGTTGTTTGTTAATATAATGTTCCGATTTCGACATGGCAATTAACGCTATGATATGATAAATATATGATGTAGCTGCGTTAGACATGTGTGATAAATATTTGCACGCTAAATCTGTAATATTACAAATCTTGAATTTATTGAGCGCGATGATTAACATGCGGATTAGTTTCAAAATTATAGCTATCCTAGCTATTACAAGGATTCTTAACTCTTATATTATTAACTGCATCACAATAGGATAAATATTATTTTTGTGATATCATATAAAAACGAATCATATAGAAACGAATAATTTTATTAAGATCTATCAAGATTTTCTATATTTCAATAAAAATTATAAAAATCTAAAAATTCATAACTACAGTTTAAGTAACTTGTTACAATTATATATAATCTTGAATTCTATTATTCTTGATATATGTATGCGAATAATTCATTCATTTATAGAATGTTATGATTTATATCATAAAGTATGTATATATTTTATTTCAAATTTTTAAAAATTTTCAATATTTTTAAAATTATTTCAAAGATTCGAAAGATTTTACGTAATCTCATATGAAAATTCATGATATTTTATATGACTCATACGAAAAATTTTGAGATTGTTTATAAAATTACTATAAAATTGCTATAAAAGTTTACAAGAATTTTCAATCTTCAATAAATATTTATGTTGATCTAAAATAACAAGCTTTCTTATTTCTGAAACAAATTAGAAAGAGTATATATAAAATAGTAAAAATAGTGATTTATTTTAATAAAAAAAAACGTTTCTCATTTTTTGTTTTGTAAGTGTTAATAAATCTTACTGTTTGGTTTTATTTTAAATTTTATAATACGAAATCTTTAATCTTTCTTTGAACTTACGTGATTATAAATTACTTCATTTTAATGATTATTAAATTTCATATTTTTACTCGTTTTTGAAACGATTGAGTCGTTTCACTACATGTTAATCGCAAAAACAAACAATAATAAAAAAAATATATATTAAACAAAAAAAATAAATCTGTGAAACGCTTTAATCATTTCTGAAACGAGAGCTGCATTTATTGATGAAAAATAAAACTGGAAATATGTGTGTGACCTTTTATAGGATGAAGAGAAAAGAGACAGCAGAAAATTCGAGAAAATTGATGAAATACCTAGCGAATTCGAGTGTTGCTTTTGTACAACAAAGGTATTTACGCTAATGTTCTTTAGGTGGCATTACATACACCAATGGGCAATTGAGCAAGTCCATAGTATCGAGTCCACATTACAAATGGTCGGATACAATCTATATCAATCTCTACAACCTAAAATCTATATCAATTTCTACTTCTAGTGTCTACACGTATTTATAACATGTATATGAATATATACCCAGCAAACACAATGTTACATGTAATGTATATATTAGTTGTAATTTCTTACTCAATAATGTAACTGTTACATAACACATACGTATATAACACTTACATTGTTGAGTAGGAAATGATAACTAACATATACGTTACATGTAACATTGTGTTTGCTGGATATATTTATTTTCTTGCGCTGCATATTTCATATTCTGTCATCCGGACACATACTTTTGCTCAACTTTGCTCAACTTTGTGAACTTGTGCTCAAATTTTTGAATTCCTTTATCTTCTTATTCTCCGCTTTTCAAAA